CTCTCTCTCCCTCTCCCTCCCTCCCTCTCTCTCTCCTCCCCTCTTTCTCTCTCTCCCCCTCCCTCCCTTTCTCCCTCCCTTTCTCCCTCCCTCCCTCTCTCTCTTTTTCTTTAACAAAGCCTGCAATTTATTCTCCAAGAGAAGGGGAAAAATGTTTTCTTCTTTTTCTTTTTGAGATGGGTTTATAAACTGTTGAGCCCCATACCAGACCTCATTTTCATGTTGGCAGGAGTTCTGTCTCCACATCAGCTGCCTAGAACCATCTGCAACCATCTTTGAAAAGCCCAGACATGTCTTCCTGGCAACTATCTGTGTGCTTCATTCCAGGGGTGGCCCCTGCAGCCATCCCTCTGGCCTTCTTAGGAGAACTGGACAGGGCCATGGGCCAGCCTCAGCCCTGGCCTGAATTCACTGACATCAGAGGGACTTGGCTGTGGCCTCAGGCCTGGGTACCACCTGAGCTGAAGCTGCATGTGCCGTGGGCTTTGTCACTTCACCACTGAGCCATTGGATGTCCACCTTGGAAGCCTGGTTTTCGGAGTACGCACTGGCTGAGGGCTGAGATGTGGTATCAGTTCCATTTTGTTTTTAACTCAGCAACTGAGAATTCTGAGGGTTTCTGTATTTTTCTATTTTTATTTTTTTAAGTGGGATAAATGGTTTCCTCAATGAATTTCTTTTGTAGTTACAGCCTGTACTGAGGACAATGTTTTCCTTGGTTGGTTTTTGTTTCTTCTGTAACTTGTGACTTTACCAAAGGGTGTAGGCCTATCTCATGGGAGCAACCATTTACTGCAGGCAGACTGGGCAGCACGGTTCTAGGGACGTGTTTGGTTTTGTGTGGGGTTTTTTTCTTGTTAGATTGTTAACATATTGTAAGAAAATAAAATTCTGTGTGGATGTTTTCTAAAGTTCCATATGTTTTTGTTCAGATTTTAGATCTCAATAAATTTTTTTTCTGCAGATATATTTGAATATTTGCTTGCGTTTGAACTGCTTTGTGGTGCCTGTCATAAAACCTGTACTAAGAGGCTAGGCTCATGAGTAAATGAGCATAAAGGCACAGATCATCCAGCCCCCCACTTGGTTTTATAAATAAAGTTTTATACAGATAGCTGTTGACTCACACATTAGCTCTTTTGCTGTAGTCAGCACCATCCAGTATGTTGGACAGAAACTATAAACTTGAAAGCCAGCACACTTTAGCATCTATGCCTTTGAATAATAGTTTGCCGAATATTCTGGAAGACTCTACAGACAGCAGGCAAGGTTTATATAAAACTAGATGTTGAAGATGTATACAGCAAGCACTGGCTTGTGAGACTAGAATCCCTGGCACCTGGAAGTGGGAGGGTTGCACCAGGACCTTGGCCTTCTGTGGTTTCTGATGTGCCTGGATTCTGCCCTGTGTAATGCAAGTTGGAGAGGGAACTGGGCAGTGGTGGGAGGGTGAGCAGGGTCATGTCTCCCACCTACAGTATAAGGTTGCTAGATGGCTCACACAGACAAGCTTTGCTCAGAATGAACTCTGGGGAGTTAGCTGCTAGTCTCAAGCCAAGGATGAGACTGCTTTAATTTTTTTACATTTGTAGGTGGTTGGAGAGTTCAGAGCACCAGCTGCTCTTTGCAAAAGACCTGGGTTTGATTCTTAGCACCCATGTGTTGACTCACCCAGTTTCTGAGCATTTGATGCCCTCTTCTAGCCTCTGTAGGTACTGCACATAAGACAGACAAAAACACCATACACATCTAAAAAAATCTTTAAAAGTGAGTGTATAAGTAACTTTTTGGAAGTTAGTTTGAACCATGTGGGTGGATGGGTCCTGAGGATGGAACATCTGTTTTATTTTTTTTCTTTTATTTATTTTATGTATATGATGATACTGTCTCTTCAGATACACCAAAAGAGAGCATCAGATCCTATTACAGGTGGTTGTGAGCCACCTTATGGTTGCTGGGAATTGAACTCAGGACCTCTGGAATAGCAGTCAGTGCTCTTAACTGCTGAGCCATCTCTCCAGCCAGGAACATGTTTTTATGCTTGGCTAAAAGTGCTTTTACGCACATCATGGAGCCCTCTCACCAATTACTGGGTTACTTTTGAGGGGGCATAACTGACAAATGGGATATGCCTGTTAGTCTGTATTCGGTAGCTGAGACAGGAAGATCTTGACTTCAAGATTAGCCTGAGCTACTCAGTGACACCCTGTCTCAGAACCAAAACTTGACGGACATGGAGGTACATGCCTCTAATTCCAGCACTTGAGAGATAGAAGAAGCAGGTGGATCTTTGAGTTCATGAAGCTAGCCTGGTCTACAAAGTGAGTCCAGGATAACCAGGTCTGTTAACAAGAACCTTGTCCTAAAAAACCAAAACTGCCCAAATACAATGATATGGTTATATTCTCAGCATAAAATATCCCAGGCTGACCCAGAAATCAGAGATCTGTCTGCCTTTTCCTCCCCACAGCTACAACTAAGCATGGATGGGCCACCATATCAAAGATGTTAGGAAACTTATGGTTAGAAATTTATTTTAGAAAAAAATTATTTTAGAAAATGAATGAGACTGGGTGCCTCTAATTAGAGGCCACAGGTGTTGGATCTCCTGGAGTTGGAGCTGGAGGTGGTTGTATGCCACTTGACATAGGTGCTGGGACTTGAACTCAGGGCCTCTGAAAGAGCAGTACACAATCTTAACCATTATGCCATCTCTCCAGCTCAAGGCAAACGTCTATACCACTGTGTAGACAGAGGAGTCCTGAGAGCAGAGCAAATTTAATAAAATCCACTCCTAAATTAAAACAAAATACACTTGTCCTCACACGAGTTACCTGCTCTTGAAAATATTTTAGCAGTGACCACACAGGCTTCTGTTCCTGTGCACAGAATGGTACAGACATCCTGAAGGATAGAAAACAATTGCTTCCTGAGACTGACGGCTAACTAACAGGACTGACAGACACTGAAGTTCATTCGTGTGTGTACTTGTATGTGTGCACCCACACAGGTAGACATGTGCCACCTGTGGAGGTCTGAAGGATAAAGGACTCTTCCTCCATCATGTGGGTCACACATAGGTCATCTGGCTAGAAAGCAAGTTTACTGAGCTGTTTCACTTCCCTATTTGTTTTTTGAGACAGGGTCTTATATAGCCCTGGCTGGCCTCCAGCTCACTGTAATTAAAGATGATGGTGCAGTCCAGGATCCCCAGCCTGTACTTTCTGAGTACACGGTGACTGGTGTGGTGATGGCTGTTCCCTTTACATTGCACAATGAAGAGCAATGGAAACAAGACTCGTCCAGCTGGAATAACTTATTTATAACCTTGGGAGTTAGTGAATTAACAAGAGACTAGGGGGCGGAGCAAATATCTTGAGTACACTCCTATTCTAAGGAGGGTACTTTCCGGATATTAGGTGTTAAAATAGAAGAATTTCTAATCTATCTAAAAACAGGAACAATGTCACCTCTGCTTGCTCATGTGTAGAAGCATTAAAGATGGTGGGCTAGCAAAGCAGACTCGGGATAAAGGACCTTGCAGCCAAGCCTAGCAACCTAAGTTTGATCTTGGGACCCAGATGACAAGAAAGTAAACTCCAGAGTTGTCCTCTGACCTGTAGAGGCATATACCCACACATTCATGTAAAATAATAGAAATTTAAAATTATAAGTGCATATTGATGAGGATGATATCAGACCTTAACTAAATGCTCCTGAGTCCAAGGTGACTGGCGTGGTGATAGCTGTTCCTCTTACACACAAATGAAGACCAATGGAAACAATTGTGTGGAGTGGAGACTTGGACACCTGTAACCGGAATTTGGGTGCCCAGGCCTCCAATTTGCAATACGCTGAGCTGGAGAGTAGCACCTAGGACATTCTGAGAAATAGATAATTGAATTTCTCCTTCCACTGAATTATTGCAAAGCTTTCCGTGGGTACAGCTATCAGTTCATGGGGGGAAACCAAGGACCGGTTACGTGACTTCCCCAGCTGAATTCAAGCACGTTTTAGGGAACTCATGAACGTCTAGGGAGCACTTTTGAGATTCTCGTTCGGCCTTTTACAAAGCTGGGCTCAAATTCTGGCTCCAGATATAGAACCACCGGATTTCGAACCACTTTCTCTTCATGTCTGGGTCCCAGCGCTGATGTTGTGCAGGAAATCACGTACTCAGCAGCCGCCCGATAACAGGGTGGAGTCCGGAGCAGCAAGACAGCGATTGACACTCAGTCCCAACCATTCGGCACCCAGAGGCCGGTACCAAACACCAATCCGCGTTTTTCTCAGTGAGGTCTGAGAACGCACTTGTCAATCTGCGTGAGCTCCGGGCCATCCTACACATGACCGCAATCTGATTGGCTGTGTGCATCTTGACGGGCATGCTCTGCACCCACTGAAAGCTAAGCCGGTCACCAGGCACGTGAGTGGGTGCCGGCGCGTCCTCGGGATTGGACCAATGAAGGGAAGAAGTCGAATGCCTGCGCCCGCCCCAGGTCGCGGAGGGAGGGGCCGCTCGGTGTTGATGAGGGGAGGGGTGGAGCTGTCAGCTGCCACCAATCAGCGTGCGGGCGTGGGCTGACTGCCCAATGGCGGCTGAGTAGGAGCCGTCGCCCCGCCTCCTGATGCTTCGCCTCCCCGCCCCAGGCGCTTGCCGAGGGCTCGGCCGCGAGCGAGCGAACCATCGAAGGAGCAAAGAGACCGGGAGAAGGTACGAGCCAAGTGGCCCGGGCGAACGAGCGAGGGCCGGCGGGGGCGACGCGAGACAGCCGGGCACGCGCCTCTCAGCCTGCTGTCCACGGTCCTGGCCGCGCGTTGCGCCAGGTTAGTGTGCGATCGGCGGCGGCGATCAGCAGCTTCCAGGCCCCTCTGGGGGGCCGCGCGGCCGCCATGCCTGCCCCCACGCCGCGCCTTGGGCCGCCGCGCGCACTCCAGGCCGAGGCTTCGGCTGCGGCCTACTCGGCTCCGCGGGGCGGCGGGGTACGCCGCGCTTTTGTCCGTTCGGGCGAAGCTGCTGTTTATTGATCGACAAAACGATTGTGTGCCTGGGAAAGGAGGGTGTGTGTTTTTTTTTTTTTTTTGGTGGGGGGGCGATGGGGCCGGACAAAGGCGGGGCGGGGGCGGGGCGCCGCGTCCCCTTTCCAGGGCACAAAAGATGACAGCGTGGGTGGCCCGGTCCAGCCATCCCTTCAACAACCCCAAATCCTTAAAAATAAAAAACCCACTCCAAGTCCTTGCTCCCCCCGTTTGCATTTTGGTTCCCTTTAGTGGACACTGAAGCTAACCCTTCCAAACACTCATCCATCATGGCCTTACAAACTTGACCCCTGCATGTCCAGAATCTGTAAATCACCATACAGTCTGTATTTTTAAAAATGAAAATAAATAGTGCACGTATCTGCTGTTGCAATGGCAGCCTTCCCACCTCGTTTCCGTCCCCTGGTCTCTCTGCCTTACAGCTCCCTTCTTTCTGTAAGCCATGAAATGTGCAGTTGTCCGCGTGCACACTCATCCAGGGCATCCCGGCAGACAGAGAAGCTTGGCAAAGCTGGGGACAGCTAGGGGTGGCTTTTCTACTGCCATGTCCTGGGGGCTTTAGGGGGCTTTGGTCAGCCAGCTTTGCAGATTTGATGCTGTAACTGGTGCAGTTTGGGCATCACCATTCCTGGGCTTCCCCTTGTCCCATCTGTCTGAAGAGGTGGGGGTGGGGGAGAAGATGGCATTGCTTTAATAATTAAGTAACACCTGGGGAAGTGCCTTTCCGGAGTTGCTAGTTTTTTCAACTATGCAGAGGATGGATCCTGTAACATGTTTCAAAGCAAAAGGAATGTATCTTTCCTTGTGACCAAGTGGGATTTGTTCAGCCTGGTGCCAGCAGGTTCATAGGCGCTGAGGATCTTGGTTGCAGAAGGTTGGGGGGTCCGGGATGTCTCTGTGTCCCATTAGTTGTGTATCTGACAGTCC